CAGGCATGTTTGGAAAGGTGACAACTCAACTTGACCCTCTGATGGAAAGAGCTGAATTAAGGCACTCATTTGCACTGTGTCTTCCTCTTCCCAGGGGAAAGAAACTGAATCCATGTAATTAAAAGCCCTAATCATGCTGGCACTCTAAATCATAATAAAACCCAGCAATGCAATTGAGGGTCTTGGAATTAAACAGCAAAAAAAAGTGTCAAAAGGTGATTTTTTTTTTTTTGGCATTCCTGGTTGTGTAGTGGTTTAAGAAATATAGCAGATCTGGTTCAGCCTAAAAGATAAATCTGATTTCTGGAGATATTTACAGAAAAGGAGTAGTTTGGGGAATGTAGTTAATTAACAGCATCTTATCTTGTTACTGTCGCTTAAATTGGACTCCTGTATTCCATATCAAACTACAAACATTATTAATCATAAATAAACAAGTTTCAACCATTTAATGTGATCAGGTTTTGGATCTTGTCCATTTTTGTGTCAGGATCAGAGATGGCTGCCATCTTGTTTTTACATGGATTAGTTTGTTGTGCAAATTATCCTTCCGCATGTTCACTGACAGAAGCCTTGTTACAACTTTAACTTCCTCTAGATAGTCAAGATTGATCGTCTGCTTGGTGCTCTGCTAAGGCCACTAGATGGGACAAAAAAGTGTCCACGAACGAGGACAACAGGTCTAAGTTAAGTAGAATGACGTATAAGGTCAAGTAAATCAAAATAAGAGGGTCTCAGGAGGATATATGGCAACTGCGAGAACCTCAGACTTATCTAGTAGAAGGATTTAAGTTTGAATATTGATAAGGATTCGTGGGCAAGGCTAATCTCCGGTGCAGGGTGGTTTACAAGAGAAGCTGTGGGCAAATTTATACATTTTAAGATACTTCATCGATATTATTTCACACCTGTCCGTCTTCATGAAATGGGTTCACGAGACAACAGTCTTTGCTGGAAATGTAAACGGCAGGAAGGCACCTTTATCCATGCATTGTGGGCCTGTCCTCTAGTTCTACCTTTCTGGACAGAGATAATCAAATCAATACAGGAGTGGCTGGGCATGCATGTTCCTGAATCAGTTCAACTTTGCCTCTTGGGGGACAGGTCATGTTTACCCAAGATCTCCAAACCAGCATTTGCTCTAGCCCTGACAGGCTTTATCTCAGCTGCTAGGGTCATCCTTCGCAACTGGACAAGTCACATTAGACCTGAAGAGAGAGAGTGGGTTGAGTTAATGACAGAGAATGCATTATATGAGTTAATGATAGCCAGTCTGCATAACCAAAGAGAATCATATTTGCTTGTCTGGAATCTGTTTTTGTCTTTTATAGATGATTAAACATGTGATAGGAGCTAGACACTGTACTGAAATGGACTATAATTGTAACATAGAGATGGAGGGAGTAGGCTTTTGTTTCTTTTGCTTTGGCTGTGTCATGGGAACATTTGTTTGTTTGTTTGTTTGTTTCCAGGCTTGATGTGTAGAATAGGTCATGATATAAGGGCTAGTGCTGTGGTGATGGACTTTGGAGTCATTGATGTTATAAACACTGCAGAGATGTGTTTTTGTTTAGTCTGTGCTGTTTTTGTTTTTCTATTTTTTGTGCTGATGTTCTTGAAAAAAAAAACAAACTTAAATGTGACCAAAAAAACAATGCAGCACAGTTTCAATAACATATTTAAAGTGAATTTTGTAGTGCTTTTTTTTCTCTTCTTTTTTTAATAGTATGTCCCTACAACCATTCCAGCCATAAACAAATCTCTAACAGCCTCTGAACACACATTAATAGCTGAGGTTCAAAGTAAACTCTTGACCCTTGGACACTGCAGCTGACAAAACTGTGCAATTCTCTGTTTACTAATGAATTTACGATCAATGAGAAATATTTTAGAATGTTTAAATGTGCTGATGACATAGTCTTTTACAGCAAACAGACCTATAGGGGAGAACTGTTAGAAAGTTAGTTAGAAATTAATGTGGCCAAGAATAAAGAATTGATTATTTGCAGGAAACACAATCTTAAGACAGAGCCGGTTTCACTCAATGGCCAAAGTGTTGAAACTGTGGAAAACTTTAAATACCTTGATTTGGTCCTGGACTCCAATGTGAGCTTCTCTGGAAATGCTAAGTATATTTTCAAGAAATGCTCATGACTTTATCCTCTTGGGAAACTCAGTGGCCTCTGTGTTTGTCAGCAGATTGTAGAATTAGTGCACCAAACTATGGTTACAAGTGTTTTAACTTTTCACCTTTGTGTCTGGTACAGTCATCTCAACTGCACATCCAAGAATAAACTCTCTAGGATTGTAACAATGGCAAAATAGTTGGCAAGTCACAAAAGCCCTTGAGCCAACGCTTTACAGAAAGGACGAGGGCAAGGAGTATCTTGGCACAGAGTTCCCATCCCCTCTTCAGCCAGTTTGAGTTCTGGGAGGTGTTCTCTGGCATCAAAAAATGTATTTAGGAAGTCTTTCATCCCAGGTGCCATCAGAAGCCTAAACTGAACAAAATGACTCATGAGTTTTAAACACAGACAGACAAGGAGCTGATCTAATGTGTTTCAGTGTCCTACTAACTATTTGTCTGCTTTTTACAGTGTTGTCTTCCGTGTTTGGTGAGCCGAAGACAAAGTTTCACCCATGGTGGACGACAACAATCCATCAATCTACTAAATGGACCTCAATAACAAGATTTACACCAGGGTTGTCAAACATAAGGCCCAGGGACCAGAACCAGCCCGCCAAAGGCTCCAATCCGGCCTTCTAGATGACTTTGCACACCTAATATTGATGCACTTGTGAAGGCTTAGAGGTTTCAGGAGCAATTTAAACAGTGAGCAGATACTTCATGTAAAATATAGTCTCAGAAGCTTTCCACTCTGACCAGAATACAGCTCCCTGAAATAACAATGAATACTTACTGTGGTCATATTCAAAGGTATTGAACATTGTGAAACATATTGTCAACCAGCAGCTTTAGTACAAAAGAATCTGTATCAAACTTATATCTTAAAACAATATTAGTGGAACCCTGCTGCTGAGGCACTGACAAAACTTCACGTTGTAAATGGTTTGTAAGGCAGGGGATGACTTCAACTGCTTCTTCAATAGCTTCTACTTTAGTGGAAAATTATTGAAAATTGAACATGTTAAGAAAGTGAGTAGTGGACTTGACTGAATGTGGAATAAACTGAGACATACTGTTGAATTTGCACATTTTCTTTAGGATATTGCGGGTTGTTGTTTTTAGAATGAACTTCTTTACACTAAAAAAAGGAGAAAATATGAAGGGGTTTTTATTTATACGTTATTATGCAGTGGTTTTACTGGTCCAGCCCACTTGAGATCAAATTGGACTGTATGTGGCCCCTGAACTAAAATGAGTTTGACACCCCTGATTTAGACACTGTTTCTTTACCTTTATTTACATAGGGCATGTTTGCTCCTCTACAATGATGCTCTCTATAATACTCACTTAATAATATCAACAAATCTCAGATTGGCCTGTGGCCCAGCTGAATTTCACTTCACTGGAGTACAGTATGTTGTATGTGCCATTGATGGCTATATGTCGCCACCTAGTGGCCGACTCAAACCGACTAGAAACAGGCTGGTAATAAGGTTCAGTGTCCCAGGTTCACGGTGGTTTGTAGGCCTTTTTTTTCCAGGCCATGCTCAGAGTTCAGGAACATACTTTTAAAATATTCAGATATAATTTAGCTGCTTCAGTTGTGCATGATCATTGACACACAGTCATCTTACCAGGGTTGCTTTTCCCAGGTCTAATTGTCTTCTGCTGGTAATATGCACAACTGAATTATAATATCCACTGAAGTGTTCAGAGGCTGGATCGACATTATTACTTCTTCTCGAGGTCCTGCCTTAAAGGTCTTTAATGTAGTTTTCTTATTTCAGTTTGTATTGTCCTCATGTGGTGCATATTGCTAATTAAATACTATTGTGTTTAATCAAATTACCACAAACTAATTAATGCACCAGGGGCCAGATGCTGCAGATTGTAGAAGCACTACAGTGAGAAATAAGACTATTCCCTTGACTTCCCTGCACTGGGCATACAGAACCACCTGGGGGAAGCTAATTGTCTATAGTGTGAACCCTTTTGGGAAATTAAGCACAGTCATGTATTAAAGCTCTCTTCAAGTCACCCAGGTTTGTGTTATGACCATTTACTGACTGATTGTTCACATATTAGAGAAGATATGGTTTACCAAAACAGCCAATGCTCAGTTTCAGAGAGAAGTATACAAACCTGTGAGACACTTCTGCCTTCAAAAGTAAGGCCTTTCTGTTTTAGTCTCTTTTGTGGCCAGACAATCACACACCATCTGGTAACTGTAAAAGCACTACATTTGTACATTTGTATTACTGGTAGACAGTTGCTGCTGCTCCCACAGTATATTTATGTAGCTGATAGTAATTTAGTGCTTTTCAGTTGCTGGTGCTGCAGGCCAAGATCATCTGTCTGTCTCCAACCTTGAACACTTTAATTGCCCGTTCTTCATCTCCTTAATAAATCCAGGATAATCAACCTGACTAAATAATGTAACGCCCCTCCCACTGTCTTGGAGGATGTTCCAGCCAACCTCATCAGGAAGCTGGCTGACATAAAAGGGTCGTTGCCTTGATTTAGCTCACCAGGGCCTTCCAGGCAAAAAAGCTGCCTTGTGTTTTTAATTAATTTTTGTGGATGTTGGAAGGGAGCAGCGTTTGTCCACGCTTTGTTTGGATTGCAAACCAATTTGTTTGAGACAAAAAAGAAAAAAAAAAAAATCAAATTAAAATAAGAATATTTTTTATCTACTCTTCAACTGCAATTGTGTTTTATTTTTAATAATAATAATATGATTATTTAATGTTAATTCTCAACAAATAATATTATACTAAGTGGTTGCTGTTTTTTTTCTATCCACACGATGGCAGCAGACACACCATAATCAAGTGTTTTATGAGCTGAAAGAAACAAACTGTGGCTGCAGTAATATAAATGAACTATATAACGTTTATTAAAATATATAAAAGACAAAATACATATATGCATAATTATACCCATGATGAAATATGCATATACAGTATAATAATTATACAGTAAAATGTGTTTACATATATAGATTTTTTTTTATACATATAGCAAGATATTTTTGCATTAAAACTGGCAGTGGTGATTTTATACTCCCCCCACCCTCGCCCTAACCCCCTCGTTCCCACCCCCCAAACAGGAAACCCCTCAGTCCACATCAGGCCTCCCAGAGGAAGAAGCCTCTGTGAAAAGCTTGAGAGCAGCAGCACCTTTACACCTGAGATCCATGTTTTGGAAAGGTCTCACACAGAACAACACACCTACTCTGACATATAGCTTCTGGGGACGTCAAACCAATAGCATCAGGAGGGAAGGATGTCTCACGTAAAGTTCTCTGATCTGTTCCTTTGTGGCATCTGTACCCTTACTGAACGTGATCGCAGCAGTCCCAGCAGAAAATCTATAAAAACTTTAAACCCGTGCCACACATCTTTTGTTATTACACAATAACTTCAAAAAACACCTTTCCGTTCCAATATCATGAGCCGTCATACTACAGGATTCCCCAGTACATCTAATCTCAGGATATATCTGTATAGCTTGCAAGAAGAGAGTAAAAAGATCCTGGACAGAGTGCGAAACACTCTCGTGGGATGACGTTGAGTCCTTCAGACTGGTGTGGTTGGTTGTGGTTGGTCCTGTACAGCTTGAGTCACTGCACACTGAGCGCGGTCATGTCTGATGGTAATGGTGGTAGTGGTGGTGGTGGTGGTGTTCATGGTGATGGTGGTGCTCATGACGCTGGACCACAGGAACCACAAACCCTGGGCTCCCAGGGGGGCCGGATGCCTGCTCTCTCTCCAGGCTTGGCAGTACAGAGGGCACAGGGGGCTGTTGCTGGGGGTGGGACTGAGGGGATAGCGGGGTTTTGGATGGGGACATGGCCTCTCGGGCTTTTGCCCTCAGGCGTTTGCTGTGACTGTATTGCAAAGGGTGCTGGTGGTGGCCGGAGGGTTGGGTTTGGTGCGGCAAGTGGTACACATCTTGACCCCCATGTCCTGCTGTGTTGCCACTGTGCAGCATGCTTTGCAGAGGCGGGTGGTAGCCGTGACATTTAGTGGATTTGCCACCTCCGCTGCCCCCGTTATTCCCTCCGCCTCCCTTATAGGTTCCTTTGGGAGATTTGACGAACTGTGTGCCCTTGCTTCGAGACTCTGTTGGGTTGTAGCTGTCGCTGATGACTTGTGAGCGCCGCTGGTGAACCACTTGGGTTTCTGGTTCCTGGGAGCGTGAGCGGCTCTGACTCTGGCTCTGGGAGCTGCGAACATGAGCCTCCTGGGGAGGGGTGATTCCTGTGGGACGGGCAAAAGACACAGCGTCAGTAGTTTATAGAAATACGATACATAAAACTTTGAATTTATGTTTTCCCTCAGCATCCCCATAGTATCTTTTTTAACCATTCACTTTAAGAAATCATTTGGTCTGTTTATCCAGGTTTATATATTTAAAATGCATAAAAAATTGAGATGAATAAACTGTAAGAATTTATGTAACAATAGCTCATAGAATTCACCCAACTTACTTAATAAAGTTCATTTAATTACTGTTAATAAATTGTAAGTACTTAAAAAACAATGTTCATCAACATATTTGAAATACATCAAATTTATAACCAGTAATTACATAAACTGATTAAAAAAAAACATAAGGTGAATTAGATTAATTCTGTGAGTCACAGTTACATAAATTCCAAGTCTATTTGATCACTTTGATTTAATTGCATAAATTGTGGGGGTTTTTTGTTAGAATTACTTGACTCCATTGGATGGAAATCTTATATGTAACTGAGATACATAAACCTGACCAAATAGACCAAATAATTTCTTTGAGCGTTGCAATTCGAGTCTACAACAACAACCAAGCTGGAAAACACAATATAAAGACCCTTACCATCAAATCTGGAGGTGTAGTTCTCGATACCAGCCAGGTCCAGGTAATGATTCCTTCTCTCCGTGTTCTCATCCACACAGTAATGCTGACCCTCGCTGGCCGGCACCTCATTGCTCTGCCCTTTGCTGCTAAAAATGAGCCCAACCCTCATGATTAGAAGACTGTTCATTATTTGCACAATTAAACTACAAGAATTATTACAATACACGCAGGTGAGTCTCTCAGCAAAGTATGCTTGGTGTGTACTGACCTGACATAGGAGGACAGCCGCTTGTCAGCTGAACGCCCCTCCTCTTGGTGACAGCGATCTGAAGAGGGAAAGTATGAGAACTCAAAACTCCATACTTTAGCTGTTTTACAGACCCATAACAGGCAAGTCTTTCTTTGTATTTCATGTATTTGGCAAGTCCAGAAATATTTGAAGACTATGAATTGGTTATAGTGAACAGAGGAACAGTCTGAACACAACTATAATTTGTATGTCTCAGTGAAGTTGCAGTTAACATCCACATCTGTCCAGATTCATATGTAGCCATGACAGTAGACAAAGCTTCAAAAAATGGAGGGTGCTGCAATGACACATCTGCAACCCAGCAACACAAAACATTTATACAATCAGCACAGTTTCAAGGTGGGCACTCGAGATTATTGTCACCAATTCTGTATCTGACCAAATGTCTCCCCTTCTGTATCTGAGATATGGAGTCAACTAATGGCCAGAAAAGTGTTTTTGCAGAAAATAATGATGTCACAGTGAAGCTGACCTTTGACCTTTTGGATATAAAATGATCACTTCATTATTTTATCCTACTAGACATTTATATAATTTTTTAAATCATAATTAGTGCATGAATTCTTGAGTTACAGCTAAAAACATGTTTTGTGAGGTCACAGTGACCTTTGACCACCAAAACTAATCAGTTCATTCTTGAGTCAAAGTGGACATTTGTGCCAAATTTGAGCAAATCCCCTGAAGGTGCTCAGATATCACGTTCACAAGACTGAAGCACGAATACAAAAATGAACAACCCAAAAGCATAGTGCCTCCAGCCACTGCTGTCACCACAAATAGTCATAAGAAGAGATTGCAGTAATAGCTACACTGGTTGACTGCTCACTAAAGACCAGAGCTGCCACTAAGACAAATAAGCACTAAGGATTCTCACCTGTCCCTGTTTCTCTTCTGTGGCACCTGGGCTCTGGAGTGACGGTGAGTTTGACACGCAGAGTCTTGCTCTTATTATGGCAGGAGTGATTCACAGAGGCATCCACCACGTCATAGATGGTGTGCATCAGACTGGACATGTCCTAGAGTGACACATAAAACACAATTAGTACAGTTTGTAGTCGAGAGAATAATACATAAAAAGAGAAGACTGTCAATATTAAGAAGACATGGCACATCAGGGAGCACAGATAGAAGAGAAAAAGGATGAACACACATCTTTTGTAACTTTCCCGCTGTTGTCAAAGTCATAAAGCGTGAAGATCCACTCCTGACGGTTGTCATCCTCCACAGAAACGTCACACTCCAGGTCCTGTGGATACAAACATGGCCACAGTTAATACACATAAACAACTGGAAGGTTTTACGCTACATCTTTTTTTCAAAAATAAGTAAAGACATAATACTTCTACAGTTTGTGAAAGACAAAACAAAGCAGCCTTAATGACAACAGGGGGCAGCAAAGTACATCTTAATGTATGATTTAATGGTCTCAGATGCTGTGTGATTCATAAACTTTTTTCAAAAGGTAATGAGTGTTGTTTTCTTCATACTGCTAGGGTTTTTAGGGAACAAGAGGGATTCGTGAAGCTATTGCCTCTGATCACAATCAAACCTTGCGTGAATGAGCATTTACTTTATCAGCAAATTTACCCACTGCCTTTCCCTGCACAAAAGAAAAAAAGTGTTGGACGCTAAAATTTCGTTTTTTTATGAATTATACATCTTAAGAGGAATGCAGCAGAGGCCAGCTCAAATTCAGGTTTTCAACACATAAACAGATCCCTTCTCAGCAGGATCCATTCAGCTGCATCTCCCTTGTGTTGGGGAAACACAGAGGAATAAGTCAGCATGGCAGGCCCGACCACTATGACCTTGTATTACTACCTTCTTCCAGGAAAAATGAGCGCAACCTCTACTCTCAGTTACAACTTTTTGGCAGTAACTTTGATTCAGATGTATCTAGTAACATGGCCATAATTGGAAAAATAAACATCTGGAATACAGGCCCTGCTGCAGGCACGGTGGAGAGCTGACACTGTGTGAAAGGCAGTGTGCATTTACAAGGGAGGAGACCCCAGGGAGAGAAGCAGCCCTTTATGGTTCTATAATATCTCCTCAGCTCACATAACCAGGAGTGATCACCAAAGGGCAGATCCAAGCCGTTCTTTAAAACACGCAAGTCTAAACATTACAATCTATTTATTCTATTTATTGGTCCCTAAATTCAATCAGGATATGGTCTGGAGCAGTGTCAACATACAGATGTTCTGTGCACAGGGTGAAGGCGTACAGCTGTGACTAGGCTAGAGGTTACACACCATGCATTTATTTTCTAACCTATGTTTAAATCATTTTCACTCACTGGAACACAAAACATGTTTAACACCCAGTTCTCTTGGCTCTTAGTAAATGGCTTCGGAGAGACCTCTTTCTGACCCCAGAAAATCCTGTCCCATAAGGCAACCCTTTAATTTCATTTACCGTCTCTCGCACAATGCTTGAGCCTTTTTTCCAAGTTCAAATTCACAGCCCACCACAGAGCTAACACAGATACAAACCCCCCATTAATAATAGGTAATCTAGAGTTCCAGTTATGGCTCTGTATCATTTAAAAAATTAGGATATTAATACCAATACCAGTAACCTTAAAGTGATACAGATAACAATAGAGTACTTATTTAATACCTTTCTTTTTCTTCTTCATTCGATACCCATTATGTCAGTGGAAGCGTTCAGTTGCTTTAAAAGCAACCAGACATAACAGGCATGTAATATAGTCATACTTTTGAATGTTTTGTTGGCATCTCAGCATGCTGCACTTCCAACTCAGTCAAACACAGCGTGCTCGACTTCTCCACACTACAGAGTGTATGGGTTGTTGCGGCTGCGGTGGTGGGCTGATCACACGTCGCATTAAACCAAAGAACACTTGCAGTGTTTTGGGTTTTTTTTGTCCTAGATCTGGGTACAGAGAGAAGCAAATGCAGGTATTGTTTGACTGGAGGAGTTTCTGCTACTGCTACTTAGTAATGGGTTATTTTCATCAATACCTGCCAGGTTTACTATACAGGAATTGTTGTTTTTGTTTGTAAAAAAGTATCGTCAGGAAAAGAGAAAGTGAAAACCAACCCTAGATTCACTCTGCTGGGCATTTCACCTTGCTATATTTGCATTTTTTCAGCACTGTGTTTGCAATTTTCATCGCTTTCTCTTAGATATGTGCTGCTTACGGTCTGGCACCTGGTTGCTACCTTTTTATAAAGTCCCGACCTCACCTGCAGGCTGTGCCCAGAAACATCCCCAACAACAAAATAAGAAGAAAATAAGACAATACAGGCAGAGGGCAGGGTCTCTGCAGTTGAATACATTGCCACACATTACTAGTGCGTCATTAGTGATGATTAAGAGGGATTTTGTATGAGTCTATACATTTATTTTTCGGAAAATCCTGCATAGTATTCCTTGAAATGAATCAAGTACCAATATCCAGTCCTAGTCCAACACACTGAAGCTGGATGTTTTTGCCAAAGTTGGCTGGACAGGCTCCCTCCAGAAGAACAGGCCCAGGTCAGACATGGAACCCTAGTTTTGCTCCAAGATGAGTCCCTATGCCACCCCGTTGTTGTCTTATTCATGTTATAAAAATGTGTGTTGTACTGTAATTGAGAGTTAAACCACATTACAGCATTACAATGCTGTCAATTTACGTAACTACTTACGTCCAGACTGATGCGTTTCTTCCCCGGAGCTTTGGTCGAGTCTCGAAGTATCTCCCGCTCTCCATCCTCTGAGTGCAGGTACTGCAGGTAGCTCTCACAGCCCTCAGCCTTCTCTGGAGGAAGAACCACTGTCAACACAGGACGACATGTTCAAGTTAGACACAAAAAACTATAGAAAAATTGGGCAACATTTTGTGTGGCTCACTAGCTACACTTCCAAAGAAAATCTTGAACTGGTGACGGTTATCATACCGTGTACATTTGCTTATCTACGGTATTGAAAAAAATGCAACTGAATGGAGAATACTTTAATTTAAAAATGGTTTCAAGTTTCAAATATTTCTGTAATGCTGTAATACCAGCACAGCATGAAATACACCACAATATTTATGAGATGATTATCCTATCCTGGAAATCTCATACTGTCGCAGTCCTACTTGATATTGGATTTGCTACTTTTGTAAATTGAACATGCAAGTGTCTTTAAATAATAAATGCAAACAGTGTTATCACACACATCTCACTGCACCAGTGTTGGGCTTGTTTAATTTATAGAATCATACATACTAATAGCACATACATGCTCATCTGTCATATGAGGTCAGATCTGTTTTCAGCAGCATAAAATATTCAGGTATTATTTCAGCATAAAGCTCATCAATGACTGAGAAGACATCTTTCTCAACCTACCCTCTAGGGGACAGTGTTGATCTGTGAATTGTCCTTCCTTCAGCTCACCATTTGGAAACTCCTGGGACAAGGAGAGAAATAAGGAGGGGGGAAGTGTTAGAGATGTAAGTGAATCTACAGTTCAGACCACAGACACAGAGAAAACAAACAGTTCCAGCTAAAGCATTTCCTACTCAGATGAGAGGAGAAGACTGGAGGCTCCAGCGCGGCCAAACACTTTGAACATCTGCACGCTTATTGTGTTTCACTGTCTGGGACGCAGTGAGCGCAGCCAGAGCCAAGCTTTCAAGATTCCTCCAAGCCCTTCAAACGGACCCCTCACATCCATCAAAAAACCCATAATGCACTTCATCGTCTCAGCTCTCTCTCACTCTTAGCCAACCTGTTTATTCTCATCCTGTTTGACATGGAACCCAGCGAGGAGAGTTTGATGGAAGCAGCCCGGAGTTTAGGGGAAAGATTTTGTTGTATTTCTCATTAAAAAAAGACTTTATGTAAAACAAACCTCACAATGAGCTCTCAGCAACGTGTGTGTATTTATTTTGAATGGAGAATAATTGCCAGATGGAAATTTCCATACAGATAGGATGGGACTGATTAAATACACAATTCCATGGCCATAAAACAAAAGCAGGACAAAGGAGTGGAAGGGGGGGGGGGGCTGTGCTGTCATATGTGAATAATCTATATCCTGCATAAAACAGAACCACAATGTGTTCACAACCATCCCACACATGTGCTAATGCCGAGGCACACTGAGGCAAAGGCAACAGGGTCTCCATGTGTGTGTGCACACACACACACAGCCATTCTTTAATTACAACTGGATTGTGGAAACAATGAAAATTAAGTGCAGCACAGCCCCTAAACCACAAGTATTTAAACAACAAATGATTCATCTTATTTACGTCATCTCAGTCCTCTAAGCTGCTCCACATACACTTTGAAATAAAATCCCACCAGATTGAATCAAGGGGGCCCAGTGAAACGAGACAAATAAAAAACAGATAGATGCTTGAAAACAAAAGAACTCCATGTACCTTCAACAGAGCCGGGGCTCAAGCAAGAGTCGGAACATCTGCATGCGTTTAGGTGAACGAGCCCCCCTTATTCCCCTTCCCCTTCCCCTCTTTCTCAGAGTAATGACAGCGCCAGGGCCTGTGGTTCTATTTAACAATCTCAGAGCCCGTGATTATTCCTCACTTCAGAGGATGATACCTCCAGCCTGTAATCTGGTCCTGACCTTCACCACTGACGGGGGGAGCCGCTTGAGTCTCAGGGTCATGGCTCGGACACCCCCTGCAAATTGGCCACCGGAGACATTGAGAGAAAACAGCGAAAAGAATGGGAGTATGGGAGTCGGGCCTTGGGGAGAGGGAAACAGGAGAGGGGCAGGAAGTAAGCGGGATGAATAAAAGAGAAAGAACAGAGCAGAGGAAAGAGGGCACAAAGGGGAAAAGGAGGGAAGATAAGAGGAACAAAGATGGGAGAGGAGAGAAGCAGATAAGAGGAGAAGAAGAAGAGGAGGATGTGGTTTGTTAAAGGGGAGATATGGCCTATCTATTGCGTACGCCGGTCCCTGTGAGCTCAGTGGGAGAGGTGGAGGTGTTTTTTTTTTTTTTACAGAATCTGGAAGGCTTCTGGGAAAGGTGGAGACAACTGGTACTGCTCCCTGGGCCCCAAACAAGCTGCAGTCTTTAATCACCAAATACACACGCTAGAAAACAGACGAGTGTATGTGTGCATACCCAAGCAAAAACACACACACACACAGTTTCCATCTTTTGTGGTTTCTGCAGCCAAGTTGTTGTTTCCTTTCTGCTCTGGATGCTTTTATCTCCCCTCTTTGTACCTCAGTCCCTTAATGAAGGGCAGTATGTAAGGAAGAGGGAGTTCACACAGACACACTGTTCTGCAGCTCAGAGGAACATCAAAGACAACCATTGATTCTTCTTATCCTCCTTCCCATGAGGGTGCAGAGCAAGGTATGAGCACCTCTAAATGAAAGACAGGATTCAGCGTTAAATATAATGAAACGAGTCAATCAACCAGCTGCCAAAAGTGAATCTCGTCTCTAATTAAAATCCTGATATCAGGAGACGTCTTGCTGAGTGCATGAGGAGGGGACCAGCAGGGCTTGTGTTGAACACATGGCTCTCCCCTCACCACCACCACCACCACCTCCATGCTCATTACATCCATCGGGGGAGCTAATGAGAGAGCAGGCTGGGTCCGACCGCAGTCTGCAGTTTAACGTCTAAACACATGGCATCTCCATCCACATCGCCCACGGTGTTGGGCTCAAATCTGCCCACCACATGTGTAATTAACTGCTTTCTGGCATCTAGCTGCTCTCATTCTTTCACTATCAGATCACAAACAGCTCTGCAGGGTGCGCAAAATGTGTTAGCATTTTAGAGCAAAGTGTTTTCCACCGGTGGTGTACACCTGAAGCCTGTAATATACACATCTACACAGTGTGTGTGATATTAGGGGAGACAGATGGAAAACTGCATGTGTGGGGTGGACGCTTCGACAAGAATGACAGGGAAATGATAAGGTATTAGATCTCCACTGCCTTTAAAAAAAAGGTGCTTGAAAATATGCACTGACAGTGTTCCATGTAAACAGGTTCTGACTCCCAGGCGCCTTGACATAAGAGACAGACAGAGAGGTGTGTGATGTTTGTTCCTGTTTAATGCAGCAGTTCTGCCAAGCTTCCCTAAAGCCTCAGCCTACTGCCAGACTTTTATGTGGGATAGGGTAACCAGGGGAAGCTTTCATAGCTCCCTACCAGGTGACATCAGACATCCCCCAGCAGTCTCTCTCTCGCTGCCTGCCTACCACCCATCCTCCCGCTGGAAAACACTGCGCATCTTTGTTCTCACATCCCCCCCTTCTATAGCTCACCCCCTAAATATAAGTACACACGCTTCTTTTAGTCCATTCTTCACACGATGCACAAGTGATTTTGAAAATCCCATCTTCAAAAACAGTGGAGGCTAACATGAAGATTGTTTACACAGTTCCTCTGGCCTCGGGGTATGAAATATGGCAACTTGATCAGATGTCTGGATGCGTATCCAAGTACAAACATATGCTAAAAAAACACACAGAATACTCTCTGGATGCTTGTGTGGTTTTCTGAAATACTTCAGATAGCTTATTTTTTTATATAAAAGTGTGATTAGTTTAAAAACAACGTTAGCAGTACAGTAGGTGTGACAACTTTCAATTTATTTCATGTTTGTGTCTCTTCTTTTCGCCTGTGTATAGTACCGTGCAGTTCTTTGTCCAAACCAGACCAACAATTAAATAAAATAGTTATTTCCTTGATTCAAGACACAGAGTGTCTTGGGAGACAAACACTATGCGGCAAACAGTGGGAGTTCTCCAGGATGTACACAGTTTCTAGAAATACAAAAGTCACCTGGAACTGACACTTTGGAGGGCGCCACAGGAAAGCCTTGACGACCACCAGCCAACAAGCATTCCCTCTCCTACCGGCCATAAATTGGGGATGATTGTGGGGTTCCCCGATGATGAAAATGGGGATTGAGTAGAATCAATATAAAGAAAGGAACACCAGTTTGTAAACAAACTGCATACTCTTCACCACAGAATGAAACTGGAGAGGGAGTGGGGCCATTGAGAAATAAAAGCCCTCCATTCCAGAAGAAACCAACCTGGCCTTGACTCAAAACCAGATGTGAGCGGTTACACTGAAGAGAGGCAGAGTAAAAGAGATGAGGGGTGGAGAGAAGGGGGAAGGGGCTGAAAATATGGGGAGCTAAAGAGCGAAGGCCAGTTGCACAACTTCTGTCTCTTCTCTTGCAAGACAGTAAAAGAACAATATGTTGGTCTCCTGGCGGCTGAATGGAAAGCTTTCTCTCCCTCTGGTTCATCAGGCGTCAGTTTTCAGTCCAAGTCGGGGTAATTATGGTGCTCAGAGTCAACAGAGCAGATTGGCCTCAGCTAGTATTGAGTAGCAATATTAAAACAAACAGCATATACTGCTGAGTTGGAGTTAGCCTGCCTAATAATGTCCATCATAATATAAAAACAAGCTAAAAGGAGGTTTTAATGATTTGGTTTCTAACAGTGCGCTGTTGTCATGACTAAGCCAAGGACTCTCAATAAGGGTTTGGAGCATTTTCAAGTTCAGCCTCAACCTTACCTTTTCAATCCCTGCCATTACTAGACAGCTAAAATGTGCCTTTGTCCACTAATTAGGGTATGTATGTGCCCTGACATGTCTTTCTATGAATGGAAATGAGATCAGAGCAGAATGCCATCCTGTCATCTGGACCAGCCCCATGTGGCCAAGATGGCCCAGATATGGCCCTTTCAGGGTAGAGGGACTCTCTCTGAGGTCAAACAGGAGGCAAAACCTCTCCCTTGGCAGGACATGAATCACTGGGGCGAAGCCTCTTCGGTCCTAGTATAACAACAGCTGTGGGGAGAGATGAGCATGCTTGCCTGTCTATGTAAGAGCAGCAAGTAAACCACTGAAAGTCACCCGCTTGCCTTCAATCAGGAGAGACTATCTCCTAAAGTCTGCACGCTCACCCTCTCACTGATCTTTCTCTCACTTTGATTATGACCTGCTGGATGGCATAAACAAAGATTAGCATCACTGGCTGACCACCCTGCATCTGTCACCGGTGCTGTAATCAGCTTGCCTTCATTAAAGTGGGCTTTGATAGGAGTCTGGTGTAATGGAGTGCCCTCCTCTCAGCTGTCACACAGGCAGCTACTGTAGGGACTTGGAAACCATGTGCTTCATACCAGTGACTGGAATCGCACTCACGAATCTGGGTTAGGCAAATGTGTTGAATTATAGAGGTAGTAGATCATAATCCTGTTAATGTATTTGATCAGTTACTGGAAAGAGAGCAACACAGAGTGGCTGTCATGGTTCAGAAACACAAAAAACTGAAGTTTAAAATGTGTTGCCACACACATGATGATTGCACCACAGAGAGCATGCTGCTTTAATTCTGAGGTAACAGCGCTTGGTGGTGTAATGCAATAGTCTCTGCGTGGACTTAAATATGACCA